CAGAGAAAGGCAGCAGTAGAGCTGCTAGCAGTCTTATAGTAGGGATGAGCTCAGGTTCGGACGGAACCCAGTCCAAACCTGAGCTCTTCTGAACCTGGAAGTGCCCTTGGGGCCACCCGCCCAATCAGCTGCGGGTCAGGGCATTCTCCGCCCCCACAGATGAACATAAAGAAAGGGGCGGGATCTTTGAGCTGATGTTGCTGATCTTATATGGACACATATGAGGTTTTAACAGAGGAGACACTCTGGGATTTGTGGCCGCATTAGGCACACAGGGTTAATACCGGATTCATTCCAGTCTGTATCGGAAGTTCAGGGGGCGACAAATCTACCAACTACCAACAAAGTCAACTAAGCAAATGCTTCTTCCTGACTAACAATGATCCTGAGGTCTGACCTCGGCTCTTCCATACTGCAAACCTCACAGTTTAATTTTTCTTTCTTGGCCTCCCTAATGGGCCCCCCCCTCCCCAGGACCCCATAGCAGCTGCGCGGTTCCTTACCTGGAACAAAGCTCCCCTGAACGACCTCCTTATAGGCCCACCAGCCTTCATGGATTTTTGGTGAATTTTGTTGTGCTGAAAAATAAAAAAGAAAAGGACAATTTAAGTTTCTTTTTATAGCCATTCAGTAGCAACAGTACTGAAAATTAAAAAGGTGCCACAGACTCATAGGTGCTATTGTATAAATTGAGTGTCCACGTCAGCGCCTGCATTGACCATGATCCAGAAGAAGCCCGATGTCAGTGGAGGAGTGTTAAGGGGACTGGTGGTCTCAGGCGCCATTGCACTACTGGATTTGCAACCCTCCCCCCACCTGGAAATGGTGGTGGGGAAGGACCTAGAGGGGGAACTTAGGTGAGTAAATCTGTCTTCACAAGGCAAGGGCAAACAAAAGCCTAGTGGTATGGGGGCAGGCACGCCCCTAAGCGGGGTATCACCCGGAGCGGGTACCGGGTGACACCCCACCTTAACATCATCATGCTTGATCGTGATGCCATCACGCATGTGATGACGTCACGCGCTGTTACCTGTCGGTGGCCATCTTGGTGATGGACGCCAGCAGAGAGAGGAGGGGATGTTCACCCGGCAGGATAAGGTATGCCTCCTCTCTCATGCAACTGTCGGGCTCTCAGTCCATGACCGAGTGCCCAACTTTTCAGAGGGAGTGGCACCAAAATGATTGTTAGTCGGGTGCGGGCCGAACCCCCCTAGTGATGCCACGGGATGGGGGAAAAAGTACTTTTTGAGTGCAGTTGGGCTTTAAAAGCGAAGATTTCCTTTGCCACCCAGTAGACAGCGAAATATTCTTTCATTGGGTGTTTATTTGTTCATGTTTTTTACAAAGTAAACCCTAAGGCCTCATTCACACGAGACGCAGCCAGGACGTACAGCTCCGTGCCTTGTGCACGGCTGTATCAGGCAGCTCCTGGGAAGGACAGGTGCAGCGTGTGATAAGTACACAGCCCCCGTCCTTCTCTATGGGAGTACGCGGCTGTACACCGCCCTACGCTCACCCGCCCTCCACGTCTGTGTGGGTGTTCGTACTCGTACGCTGACAGGATAGATCCTATCTGTGTCCGAGCTGGGACACCTGCACCCGTACGGACCTGCACTTGGGGTCAGCGTAATGCGGCGTACGGCCACGTAGACCCATAGAGAAGGACAGGGGCTGAGTACTAATCACACGTAGCACCTGTCCTTCCCAGGAGCTGCCCTACGGCCGTGCACGCACCGCAGAGCTGTACGTGCCAACCGTTTCTCGTCTGAATGAGGCCTAAAGCTGAAATGAATGCACAATGAACTCATCACTCTGCTACTTCTCCTTTTACTGTCCAATCACAGGCTGGGGGCTGGACAAGACCTGGAAGTGCTACTTAACCGAGGCAGAAAAAAATAAGGTCTCCTGCCTTCCCACACATGGCTTCAGGACTGGATGGACAGAAATAGAAATCCTTTGGCAGGTAGTACATATATATATATATATATATATAAAATGTGTATGTGTTTTATCTTTGGAGTTCAGCTTTAAACATCGCACGATCAAAGACTATTGAAATGTAATGGAAAGAATATTATTTTAACTCGCAAATTGATTTTAATAAGGCAAATTAGAACGGCAAATGAAATTATAATAACAGCTTGATTACACTGATAGAAGCGAAAGGGAGATGAGTCACCGAAAACTCAGCTGGAGATTTGGAAAAATGTTATATCTTAGAAAAGCTGAAGACTTTTTTTCTTAACAGACACCGGAGCGTATTTAAAGCACCAAATCTTATTCCTCACCGAAGAGATTCCTTCTCATTTCCTGTTCCAGTTACCATCACAGGATGTAATAAGAAACCTTTCCCCTGAGGACAAAGACATCAACAAAAACACTTTTTTGGGGGCTATAAAATTTTTAAGATTTATACGCATTTGTACTTGGCTTTCATTTTTTTTTACTTGCCGTTTCATATGTTTATTTTTTCCATACATATTTTTAGATGCTACTTCTGTATGGTCATCTGAGTACCAGGAAATGTAATTAGCCATCGTGCTGAAAGGCGATGTACAGACGGTTATATATAGGCAATGGACACACTCCTGCCATGTCCCTAGATATATATAGGCAATGGACACACCCCTGCATTGTCCCTAGATATATATAGGCAATGGACACACCCCAGCCATGTCCATAGATATATATAGGCAATGGACACACCCCTGCCATGTCCCTAGATATATATAGGCAATGGACACACCCCTGCCATGCCCCTAGATATATATAGGCAATGAACACACCCCAGCCCCTCCCTCAGTTGTATAAAGGCAATGGGCACACCCCTGCCACGCCCCCAGTTATATATAGGCAATGGAAACACCCATGCCATGCCCCAGCTATATATAGGCAATGGACACAACACTGCCATGCTCCAAGTTATATATGGGCAATGGATACACCCTTGCCACACCCCCAGTTATATATAGGCAATGGATACACTCCTGCCATGTCCCTAGATATATATAGGCAATGGACACAGGTTGAGAAGGCCCAAGACAGGCTGTGACCTGCCGTCACATGGATATAATAAATCTATAATCTGATGTTTTTACTCTTGTGTAAGCACTTTGTGTCCGCCCAACCTGTGTTATATAAAGATATATATATAGCGTGTTTTTTTATTGTGTATTATTATTATTATTTATCAGGTTTATTATGATTATTGTTATTATTAGTAGTAGTATGATTATTCATATATTTTTAATGATCTATTTTTAATTATAATAATTATTATATGCTATGGATGGGGATATTGTTATTCCGTACTGCTGGTTGGTTGGGTTACTATTGCTCTTATGTGCTGCTAATGAAGTGGTTTTTTTTCTTCAATTACTGTTATAATGTTTTTTTGGTGGGCATATATAATAGTAATATTCTACTGCTACCGCTACTAAATTCTGCTGGTAAAATTCCTAACTATTATATTATGCTATTAGGGGGGCTACTATTTTGTGCGACTGACAGAGCTGATATCACTATTATTTATTGCTTGTTGTTGCTATTATAGTAATATCAACTATTATTACGTGCTTCCCGTGGGGCTTTTACTTTTATGTGCTTCTGGTGCAGCTATTATTGTAACTATAACTGGTGTTAAGGCTGCTATTATTATTGCTGTTATGTTCCGCTAGAAGGAATAATACAGATAATGTGTAGATCCAAAGGTCTGCTGCACATTCACCACTTCCCCTAAAAAGCGCACAAACATTTTAGCTTTCCCTGTATTTCACAGCAGCGTGCCACATGCTCAGCTTCTCGACCCTAGGGCATAGCTACAGACTGTCCTGAGTCTTTTAGGTTCTTCAGAACACCCCATACTGCTATACTGGCTACCATTACCTTGGGTGGATCAACATTTGGCTCCATCACATGGTCTGCAATGGATCCATCACATGGTTTGCAATGGCTAACTTCTGCACTGCCACTGCAAAAGCTCGCACTACTTCCGTATACATCCCGCTCACTGCACCGACCACCCAAGTCTCTGCCACTGCACTGAATACGCATTACCCTACTTGCTGCTACTCCAGTGAAGGGGCACATAACTTGAAGGGGGAAAACGTTTTGGAAAATCTTGGTGCTGGGGTAAGGTCACTTCAATCCTACTCCCCCCCAAAACACATCAAGCTGCAAATGTCACCCAATCAGCCGGTAAATAAAATTAGGCCATTAAGCCATCACATAGTCAGTCAGGTACTCTAACCACACATCTCACACATCCCTGCTCATGCTGTGGCTCCCTTAACAACGAGGCCAGGCATGGTGCATGCTGGTTCAGTTCTGTGATTCCTATAGGCATCACAGGGCAGTGTTAAGCTGGTAAGTGCTCTGTCAGGCAGAGGGGGAGGCAGGAGCGACCCAATATAGGTTCAAAATGGCACCCACAAGAGCACCCAGTCTAACCTTCAACTTTCCGTGAGACCCCAGTTGGTGAGTGGAGGGAGGGAGAGGCATTTCTGCACTTGCCATTATTGTTTTGAGACGAACATCCTCACTCTTCGTCACTGCATTGATGTGCACTCACTACCACTCACTGACTGCCACTGAACCAATGCACTATTCTGCATGCAACAATATGCACTTGCTTACTCACCACTACTGCACCCACTAATGCCCCGGCATGCATTTCCTCACTTGCCACCAAATACACACACTTTGCCACTGTCTGCCACTGTCTGCATTCATCTCATTCAATGAATGTTAGTAGCTGTATACTGACAGTGCGAGATCTAAGGCACTTGCTGCCTCTGACTGCTGCTGTAATGGGATTTGAGAATTGGTGATATCATTATTGTGCTGTTCAATGTTCTCCTTGCTGGAGGCTCTGACATCAGAAAGCAAAGCCCTGCCTCTACCAAGATGGTCACTTCCACACAGAGACACAGTGCGGAACAAGGCATGGTAAGTCAGTAATGGAGGGAAAGATTCACCCTCTGTATGTATCCTGGTGAATAATTGTCACCGGGACAGAAAGTGATAGAAAATCGAAAATGTTATAGTTGTTGCCAGAGCAGGAAGTGAAGGGAAATCTTTTTTATGGTCTTCTACAGTCTATAGAATGTGTATTGAGGAGCACCTACTACAGATGACGCTATCAGGAAAGAAGAACATCTAAGAAGGAAAGAGGGACATCTGAGGAGGAAATAGGGGCATCTGAGGAGGAAAGAGGAACATCTAAGGAGGAAAAAGGAACATCTAAGGAGGAAAGAGGAACATCTAAGGAGGAAAGAGGGACATCTGAGGAGGAAATAGGGACATCTGAGGAGGAAATAGGGACATCTGAGGAGGAAAGAGGAACATCTGAGGAGGAAATAGGGGCATCTGAGGAGGAAAAAGGCACATATGAGGAGGAAAGAAAAACTTCTAAGGAGGAAAGAGGAACATCTGAGGACGAAATAGGCACATCTGAGGAGGAAAGAGGAACATCTAAGGAGGAAATAGGGACATCTGAGGAGGAGAGAGGAACATCTAAAGAGGAACGTGGGACATCTGAGAAGGAAAGGGGGACATTTGAGGAGGAATGAAGAACATT